CAGTCCAATCTTCTGAAAGAATAGCTTAGTCACATTTTCCTTCCACCATCACGAGTAATTTAAGGGCAGGGCCTGCATTTTATTCATCTTTTGACCTTAATCTCCAGTGTACTGCTTGGTAGGCAGTGTGCAGTAGGAATTGTGAGCATGCACATGAGAGCCAAACAGGTCCTAGAATGTTCTTTTCACTCTGTCTGCCTCCCGCTTCCAGCCCAGGGTGAGCTTGGAGGTCTTCCTAATAGGCTGGAAATGGACCCAAGAAGGTTGATGTATACATTTTTACATAAACACTATTTAAACTCTAAGAGAGTAAGCAGGCGTGTCAACATAACACCTGTTAGCCTAGCACTCAGGAGGTTGAGGCCACCTGGGCAACTTAATGAGATCTTATTTCATAATCCAGAAGTTTAAATAAAGGAAAACATGCAGCTCATTGGCAAGGGTGCTTGCCTAGTGTGTGAAGGTCCTGGGTTAAGTCCCCAGTACTAACTTAAAAAGCTGAGTTTTATACTACATGTAAGATTTATGACATGAGCCAACATTTCTAGGGTCTATCTGGTAGGTAGGCTAGGTTATCAACTGCAATCTCAGTGGCTTTATGCAGGACATTCTTAGAGAGAGAAAATGGGGTAAATAGGTGCTCCAAGGGGGTTTCTCAGCCTCAGGTTTCTCTGGAGCTAGGCTTCTTCCTTCTGGTAATGCCCCCATTGTTATTTCCCTTCAAGGGTCAGTGAGGCACACAGGGAGAGGTGGAGGCCATCCATTATAGTATGTTGTCCCATGGTAGGACTGGAGTCTGCATATATCCCTTTGGCCAGAGTTCAGTCAGGTCCCATCCTTACTGCAAACGGTTAAAAAGTTGGGTTTAGCTGTGTGACCAGAGGGGAATGGAATTGGTTTAGTATATAGCATTGTGTAGGTGAAAGACACTAGTTCAGTTTCTACTGAGATTCTAGACGCCATCCAGAACATAGCGTCTGTCAATCTTCCCCTGCTCATGAGCATGAAAGTATAGTTAGAGTTCGTGTCATTTCTGGAAAAATGTCAGAGGGTATTGTTTGTGCTTCACAATAGTTCCTCTTGCCTTTTGTTAGCAAAAGTCTGAGGAAAGTGTTGATAAATTTTATTATTTATCAACATATCCAAATACATAATTTGTGTTATGTCTTTTTAATTGTAAAGCAGTGCTTTTCTGTACTAGCAAAACATCATTTTTAAAGAGCAGATATGTCTTTAGAGTTAGGATTTTTTAAAAGGTTGTTTACAATAATCATTTTTTTTAAAAAAGGATTATAAATGATCTGAAGAGTGGAAATGGGCAAATATGTTCACCCAATCAATGTTGTTTTTCAGATAAGTCTCACTGTGTGTTACAGGATGGGCTGCACTTGAGCACCTCTTTCTTCAGCCTTCCAGGCATTGAGGTTTCACCTAAACACCTCCGTAGCCACCACTTGGTTGTGTTTTCTGCACTTGTGTTTTGAGCATGTGACTGTTCTGTCTCTGTACAGAGGCAGTGTGAGAGCTTCACAGTACATCAGCTTCATTCTCTGTAGTTTTCTGCTTGCCCTCATTGTCTCTTCCTTGCTGAAAGTAGGGATTGGCCGACTAGGCCTTGCCACCTCTGCTTTGTTGACTGTCTCTGTAAATGACATTTTGTTGAGTTACAACCATCCTCATCTTTGTGTGGGTGTTTGTTGCTAGAATGAATGAATTGAATAATTTATGTCAGAAACTTATGACCTCCAGAACCAATATTTATTCTTTGGCCTTTTTTTTTTTTTTTAACTTCCATGCTTTCACTATGCAGTCCATGTTGGCCTCAAACGCCTCTTCATTGTTGGAATTACAGGTATGCACTACCACACTGGGCTTTATATTCTTTGACCTTTTTCAGAAATAGTATGTTGACATCTATACTAGCTAAGTAGAGATCAGCCTGAACCCCAGAAGGGTACCAGACCTGAAACAACCAGTTGGACTTTGCAAGACAG